CCAATACTGTCATATCCACGTTACACGAGGAGAATGAGATGATCGATAAGAGCGCAACGCAGTTGTAAGTACATCGCTGGTCGTACATCAAACAAGACTGATTGTAAAAAGGCATACCAAATCCGCCACTAAAGACGTCCATAAATCTACCTTCAACAAAGACGACTCAATGCATGACGACTCAGATGATCCAGAATCTGTACTTACATACATGGACACCGCATTCAGCAAGTGGTCACATGCGAAGCGTGAAGGCATTGATGCTATCACTGGCATCGTCATGGGGGCTCCTCCTGAAACCCATACGACTCTTGCACATTGGGACAAGGCTTCGTGTCAAAAGGCTTCGCGTCACTTCAGCCAAATGATTACTGCTGATAATCGTGAACTTTTGAGTCCCGATAATCTTGCGGCCCAAACGAACCCGGGGGATCGGGCCTACGTCACGCTGCTGCATAACAGCCTCCCCCATCGCAATGACAGCCGTGCTGCTACTCAAAAGGTGCTCTGCAGTGATACCGTAGTAATTAATGACTTCAGCTCAAGCGCAGAGCATCCAACACAGAAGCAGCAGTATGGATCAAAGCGCGCCGCTCTAATTGCAAAAGACAAGGCGATCAGTAAAAATACCGTTCTCGTTGCTCAATCCGCCAGCCAAAAGCGCTCTGCGCAACAAAAGAAGAAGAACCGCAAGTCGACAATGCCGCCACCTTCCAGCATCAAGCGGTCCAAACAGGAATGCAAGTCGAAGACCGAGCAACACAGCGAGACCGAGCAGCATCAGCATCAGTCAGGGTCTACACTTCTTATCTACAATGATACTGAAGACGGACGTAGAGACGCCATTACTCTCGCACTGAAGGCTGGCATTATAGACCCCAATAAAATCAACCATTCAGATGCGTTATACCAAATGATGGCCTTGGGTGATGCCAAGAGCCCAACGGAAAGCAATAAACAGATTGTTAAGAGGCACGCGGAGGAGCGTGGCATAGGCCTAAGGGTAAGAGGTTGAAGGTTGACACGAAAATGGGACAATGCTAACTATAGATAGGGAGTCAGTCATGATGAGCATAGGAAGAAGAGGCAGAATGTGCAGGATACTAATAATTAAGAAGAAAAGGGTTGATTAATTCGCAATTGGTGAAGGGAAATGGAATAAAGGGAGCGAGAAAACTGTCACCTCTTAGCTGAGTTGGCTGTGAAAGCCAAGGATTTTCAACATGCTTTGGACAGATAATGGTAGTATACAACTAGAAGGCTGGCAGACACCACAATTTGGCGAGTCAATACACATAGCATAGTCTAAGTCATGTATCCAAATGGTTCAATTTTCGTCATCTAACGTGACACCGGATTGATATCGGCCATATTTCTGAGGTGCCACTCAAGAATGAATCATGCGGAGGTGCAACCATCCACAAAATAGTGGGTCCATTACATGTGTCGAAGGCTTCTAGGCCCCTCTCTAACAAATATACGCGAATCATTGTGTTCTCCTTGTACTTATGAGAACGACATTTCGGGCCAATTGCTTGATGTTGCATGTTTTAGAATGTGAAACAGTCCACACCCATTGACGCCTCAGCCGGAATCAATCACCCGGGAGAGGACAGACTAACGCTATCCGAACGTTAGGCTTGTGGCCCGTTTTCACAGTGCAGGTAACCAGATAGTCATGCCTGACATGAGCACTTGTTCAATACCTGGAATACTCAATTGCCCAGTGTCTCTCAATTTCGGGTTTGGGAAAACCAGAAAATAGCCCAGTCGTAGTGCGAAGCTGATGCAGGTGATTAGTTTCGCTCGCCTCGCTTACCTTTTCACTGGTCTCAAAATGTTCGTCGAGTCACCACCGTTGTCACCTCCTTGAAGCATGTTCGCGATGCTTGGCGGGCTTCAGCAATTGACCGAAGATACATCACGGGGCCGCAGGCTGTAACAACATACAGTACCCGCCAGTTTTACTAGGCCAACCCGAGCTTGACAGGGGCTTGTCACAAGAGACCATTCACTTCAATATTGAGGTTCTTTACTATTGTGAAAGGTCTTGATGCGCTCAAATGTTGGCCTCAGTATGAAGGTATGCTCTATGGACGTTCTCTCATACTACTCGCAGTGTGAAGTCACTAAAGAGTTACAACTGAATGAAGCATATGCCATATAGTCATGGTTTCAAGCGAGAAGCTTGGTCTGATATGCATGACATCGACCAGAAATAAAAACTTGGCATTAAAGGGCAGTAAGTATAAGAAGGAGACCAGAATGTACTTTTGATCACCACCGCTTGGTCTTTCCTTCGCTCCGCTCCTTTCAGCACCGAAGTGTCATTCGTTCTCTCTTTCTTTTTTCCCCCGTCCAACACATTCATTTCACAGACATATCTGTACTACACTCGCTATGCGTCTCCAATCAGTTCTAGGCAAAGTATGCCTCATGCTTGCAGCAGCCGATGTTGTCACCGCCGCAGCCATTCCGATAGCTCCAAGTGCTATTGATGGTGTCAACGTCTTGGCCGTTGCAGCTTCGCCTGCCGCGGCAGCGAAGCCAAAGCCCAAAGCAAGCGCTGCGCCGAAGCCTGTAGCAAGTCCCGCTCCAAAGGCCAAAGTCAGCGCCTCTGCTAAGCCCGTTTCTCCTCCACCAAGCCCAAAGCTTAGCCCGCCTGTGAAACCTAAGGTCACTCCCACATCAAGAGCCCCAATCGTTCCACCCGCGAGTCCAAAAGCCAAGGCCCCTCTCACACCAAAACCTGCTCCCAAGGTCTCTGTTTCACCAAAGCCTAAGGCCGGGCCCTCGCCTAAACCTAACGTCACGCCTACACCAGCCAAGTCTACCCCAGTAGCCGACCCTCCGGCAGCCGATAAACCAGCAGCTAATCCACCAGCGGCCGGCGTTCCAGTGGCCAGCCCTACTCCCAAGGGTTCTACTCCTACTCCTGTAGGCAATGGTCCCGTCGAATCAGTGAACCCTTTCGTTCCAGAGCGCGTTGAGTCCACTGTCAAGCCAACAACACCGGATGATGGATCTGAGGACGGACCTGACAACTTGCGACTTCGTCTTGTCGTTCCGGCGCCTGTTACGGCTGACAGGCCCGCCCTCAATGACCGCACGATCAAACTCAATGGCAAGGAATGGTATCTAACAGAAGCATTCCGCACTCCCGCCAACGTGGACACTTTCCCTAACTTCACTGCCATCTCCTACCGTTGGTATGACGGCCGCCTTCCTAACCCATTCTTTGACGGCTTTCTGATGTCCAACTTGACGCTGCCTTCGCTCGAGAGTGCCATGCGCAACGCCCCTCAGGGCCAGGAGGCATTCTGGATTGACTGCTTCAGCATTCCTGCCGAGAAGCCTCTTAAGGGTATAATTCTAGACCTCCTATCCAATATTTTCGACGCTGCACACGAAGTCATTGTACCTCTTGGCCTGAACGACGCTAAGACTCTTCCTCTTCTTGCCGGAACAACCGCCCTCTCTGCCACTCCCTCAACTGATCTAGTGAACGCGCTTAAAGATCTCAACCAGGAAGAGTGGGTTAAGAGCATTTGGACTTACAAGGAGGTGCTCAGTGCGAAGAACTACATCTTCACTGACCGCAACGCCAAAGCAGCCAGCGGAGCTAAGGAAGCTCAAATCAAGGACCTCCAGTTTTTCAAGAAGGTTGGAGAGGCCCTCGACGTTTACAAAGGTCAAACGAAATTGACCTCTTGGGATATCCGCAAGAACTTGACCCAAGTGGATGCCCTTGAGGACCTTGGTCTTGCCCGTCAGCTTAAGGCACCGTATGAGGGTTCCGTATTCGAGGCTCTTGCCAATCTTGACCGTCGTTTCGTTGAAAGTGACAAGAATTTCTTCTGGGGATTCTACGGAGTTCTCACCTTGGAGATGATCCCCGCCAGCAAGCCTCACGACACCCTCGCAGAGCTCTACGAACGCCTCTTTGAACTTTGCGAGAAGAAGAAGGACTATTCTTTTGTCTACACATCTGCAGAGCGCCAGACAACTAAGCTCAAGACTTTCTACCCCAAGGCCGGAGCCCTCCACTCGATCATTACTATGCCCGGTGACGCCAACTACCAGTCCGGCAGTTCCAGCGCCAAGGGTGTTACTCTTGACGGCATGGTTACTCTTAAGGCTACAGCGGCTCTGGGCAAGAGAGGCAAGGATTACATCCAGCAGTGGTTCAAGAAAGATGTGCCCGCTATTGCCGATGATGGCACTGACAAATCGATTGCCTCGAAGATTATTCAGATCCTTCAAATGGTTGACTACAGCGGCAGCAAGGAGTACATTGTCACTGATGATGGTATCTTCTTCCCTCAGACCCCTGCCGGCGCCAACCCCACCATCTTGGTGACATCTCAGCTGGGTTGGTCTTTCGGAAGTCCTGGCTTCGCTAAGACCTCAGCCGGTGCCTACATCCCCGGCGCTTTCGTTGGACATGTTGCAAAGGACATTGCTGCGCCAGTACTCATGGCCTAAACTGATCTTTGTTTGATACTTGTAACGATAGTGTATTGATTTAAGATGGGCGCATTGGATAAACTATAGATGGTATGACTTGCTTTTTCTCTTGCTGTATACAAATTTGATCTTCGGTTGCGTTGTGGCATTACCCTCCTTCACTCCAGGCTCACTGTTTATACAAATTTCCCACATTCCAAGATGAATAACAATCGTGCCCTGCCGTGACGCAAAGCTTCTAAAGCAACAATACCGGATAATGCATCTCGTTTAAAAGAAAACAGCCATGAAGTGTACAGCATACAAGTGTGCGAGGTCAGTATCCCTACTAGTTATAGTACGCATGCCCCACCCATGAATCCCTCACTAGCAAAAATTTCTTCTGCAAAATCTTCGCAACATCCATAGCCCCTCGGTTAGCTTAAATGACATGCCTAAACATGCAAGAGGCCTACTGCCATGGATTGAAAGGCATTTGGGATTGAATACATATATGCCCTATGTCTACAACTCTTCCATCATTACTAAGCAAAGGCCTAATGGCCCAATGGCAAGGCGCTTGACTACGATTCCAATGTAATCAAGAGATTCCAGGTTGTAAGTTTGACCCTTGCTTTCCCAATAATTCGCTCGTTCGAATCCTAACAACGACATCAGCGACCCCTGGTTAGGTCATCTTTCAACACCCCCTTTCGCATCGGTGGTTTAGTGGTAAAATTAGCCGTTGCCATGTATCTACATGATTCGGCTAGCCCCGGGTTCGATTCCCGGCCGATGCAAGCTTTCTTTTTGCTGTTGTGAGGCCTGAGGGATGGCGAGGTGGTGGTGGTGGTGGTGGTGAGAGGCGGCGGGAGCGCTGGCACTACCCTCGGACTGGCCGGCATGAATTTACACCCATTATTATGAAGAATATGAAAATCGTCTAGATTTTTATAAAACAGTGCTCTCTGCCTCATTTTGCACTCCGCTACGAAATTTCTTGGTGACACGAGAAGTGTTGTGTGATTGTGTGAGCTTTGACAATGGCGGACGCCGTAGAACCATTTTGGTCGAAATGGATAAGAAGCAGTTTGTTTGATGTAGTAACGTTAGATTGAGATTGGAATCGAGATTGGTATGTGATTTACTGAATGATTTATCAATATGAAAGTCGCATATCTACACAATGCTTTGGAGGCGACGATGCCATGCTGTGCAAGAATAAAATCCAACGACCGTCCAACGCCGCGCTATGCAAGAAGTCAAACCCGGACCCCATACCGTCTAGCATGCGTATTTTTGTGAAATATTTGATGAAGCCAGCGAACCTGTCGCCTAAAAGGCCCTGATCTTTTTACCCTCTCCATTCGCACCCATTCCATCCTCAGCACGACGCTTGCCCAGAACCGAGTCTGGCGTCCCCGGCATAGCTATGCCTGCTCCCTTGCTATACTCCTCAAAGCATGTAGCATGATACACCTTTGCTCCCACGTTGAGTGCATCCATCCAAACGAAGTCATTCGCCTCCACACTCCACACCGTCTCAAATTTCTCTTGGCAAATCGGACAAGGAGCCTGCTGCAATACTACATCCTGTGGTACGCTCACATACCTGTCCTTTGTCTGTTTTTTAGGCTTCGCGGCGCCACCTGTGGCAGAATTGGGATCGTTAGAAATGTAGCTGGGAGCCGTCTCATCAACTTCCTGGTATTCGATCCATTCTTTCTCAGGAATATACCAGCTACGATGTACACCACGCTTGGCTGCATCGGGGTCTTTGACTTTGAAGTGCCAATCCATGTGGCGAGCCTTTTTCTCCTTGCCTTCAGGGGTTGCATCAAAGCGGCGGCCGCAGGTGGCGCAGATATTCGGCTTACTTTCGTAAAGCAGTGAAACGAGGTGGAAACGTGGCTTCTTCATGGAGGCAGTGGTAAGCTCTATCTGGTCCATCACATTTGTAGGTGCTGAAGACTGCCGTGTCATCGGCTGAGATGCTATTGGCGTTGCAGGTATGGGCGTGGCACCAGGTACGCTACCTAGGGCTTTGAGAAGCCATTCAGCGCTGCCAAGCGCAGGGGCGGCAATGACTGGCTGTGATGGCAGCTGTGGAATAAGCGTACTTTGCACAGGTGTTGAGTTTGAAATTGGGGGTGCTGCCCCAGGTTTGCTGAACTGGGCAAGCAGCGCAGCAAGGTTAGCTGTAGGCGTACCGGATGGTGCAGGTGGAGCTGCTTGTGGGGCTGCTACAGGAGTTGAGACAGGTGGTGGGAAGTGTTGGAAAGGCGGTTGAAATGGAGCTGGTGCTGGTGCAGACAACGACTGTGTTGGAGATGAGACGCGCTTTAGCAGATCTGCTAGGTTGAGAGCTGGAGGATTTGTTGGGGGAGGTTGTGGTGTATGCTGCACTGGTGGTCTGAAGCCTGCTAGGAGTTGCGCAACATTCGGTGGAACACTGTTTGGCGGAGCAGCCGCGGGAGGGAATTGCGAAGAAAAATTAGGAGAAGTTGCATGTTGGGCAGGGTACACCGGCGTCGATGGGGAAAATGTTGGTGTCGGAGCAGGAGGAGGTGCTAACGCCCGAATCTGTTGTCGTACAGCTTCCAATTGCTGGGGGGGCAATGTCTGTGTATCAAGGATCTGCTTGAGCGAAAGAAGCGCTTGCAGCTTTGTTCGCAATGCTACGTCAGCAGGGTTATGTGCAAACATTGTTTGTGTCGTGGATATCAGCTGTGTAATTTCAGTCTTCAGCTCAGCGAGATCAACCGATGACATTGGCTGGGATTGCGGTTGAGGCTGTTGATGATAAGCCACCGGCGGCGTAGCAGTATGCGCTGGAGGTGCATATTGCGGAGTGGATGGAAAGGGCTGTGGCCGCAATGTTAGCAAGCAAAATGGATCCTCTCGAGGATATGCGCTTACCGGTCGAGCGCGTGGATCATTGGGAGCAACGTAGCGCGGTAGGTTTTGCGGCGGTGTCGGTGTGCTCCTCCAAGCCACGTTCGTGGGTGGCCGAGGTGGGAGTGCATGCTGCGGTCGCTGAACCTGTTGCTGAACAGCTGCTCGAATCTTAGTCAGAGCATTTTCGATGTCTTTTGTCACGTCGACGGGAAACACAGGGCGAGGATCCATGGATTCAGGCACAGGCTGCTTCCACGTCCGCAGCAAGCCTTCCATGGCTTTTCGCGTGTCTTGTGTCATGACTAAGTAGGCATCCATAAAGGTACGATAGAGGTTGCGGCCGATATAGACGGTATATGGGGTGCCAACATTCTTAACAATAGAGTCGAGCACATAGAGAGCTGGTAGTTTCCACTCAGGACGAGTCTACAACATGTCAGTCACGTGCATGGAGTGGGTAGGATGGAGAGCGTGAGCGACGATGGGTAGGGATGGTCACAGGCAAATGTTAGACAACTCACCGATCGAATGTGGTTCTCAAGCTCTGTCGATATGGCTTCCGCATACTCTGTATTCTCTTTGGCGATGAGGGTTAGATTGCTAATCTCTGGTCTACTGTTCATCCTCAGATCTTGCAAAGCGTCTCGAAAGTCAGCTGCGACTTCAGCAGCTGGTAAAGACATGATGGGCAAGTTAAGGGGGGGTGGGGGGTTAGAGCAGGATGATATGCTAGGTTAGGGGATGAGGTCTCGCGTCAACAGTGCAAGAAAACTTTTCGCTTGCGGTCGAGCAGTCGCAATCCGGAAGAGGCCGACTTCGGATGCCAGATGAACAATATAGACGATGTGTTTCCGCGCTCTCGAACACACGTAAAGACAGTGTCTGTGTTGATACTAGCTATAACGGCGCCAGATGACGCAGCAGAAACTGCGGCAGGTACAGCTAGGACAGGGACAAAACTCGCTCTCCTCCAGCCACTGTGCTCCTCCCACTGTATGTCCTTCCTCCTTCAGCCAACTGTCGTGGCAGCAGCGCGCGACTGCAAGGACCGAGTAGAGGTGTATACCTGCTGTAAGTGTGCGAAACAAGCCAGCGGGATGCCGTTGATGCGGAAGCCAACGACCGCTGTGTTTGCCAGTGTCGTATCCTCTTTGTATTATACGTTAGTGGCAAGCAACGCAGAGATGCGCACAGAGTCGGTCGTGTGGTGTTGGGGGGGTCAGAGGCCCGGTGGTGATGGGCAAGATAAGCGTTCAATGTTGGGAAGACGTGGAACGACCGCGGTTCTTTGACGGTTGCCTGCACGGACCGCCTGCGCCAGCCTTCACGTCGGAGATGCGTTGCCAAGCCCTCCGGCCAATAGTATCACCGCCCGTCGTGTCGCGATGCTCAACTTTCTTTGAATCACGGCGCAGACCTCATCGCTATCGTCCTCGCGTCTCTCCACCACGTCTGCTGCGTCTAACAGCTGCTGCTCACCCGCCCACCCTTGCCTTTCTCTCCACCTCGTCTTCACAACTCCTGCAGTCGCACCTGAACTGCCAAAGTAGCGATCATCATGGAGGACGTCGAGTTCAACAGGTCGCACTCCAACTCGCCGCTGCCCGAGGCCGGCAATGATCCAAACGACCCTCTGCGTCCCGAAATAGACGAAGAAAACTCGGTTCCAAACCCAACCAACGCTGAGCCATATCAAGACATGGAGGTGACAGAAACCCAGGAGGGGATGCCCGATGACGACGACATCCAGGCCGGTCTATCAGACAACGAGTCTGTGCTGTCTGAGGCCCTCGACGACGATCAATTTGACGAGCAATTCGGCGAGTTTGACGCGAGCAACATCGCAATTGAGGAGCGCCCGGCGCAGGCTATCGACGAGGACAATGTCAAGCAGATTGGCGTCCACAAGCGGAAGCGGATCGCTGGCGAGGGCGACGAGCCCAAGAAGAAGAAAAAGCGGGCAGACAAGCCACGCCGGAAGAAGAACAAGGACGGCGATGAGGGCGAAGGTATTGCTGAGACGGACAGGAGGAGCAGCAAGCGGTCCAAGAAGGCGGGCAAGGTTCGAGGAGCAAGCCCAGAGGAGGATGCAGACGAGAATCTCACCCCAGAAGAGCGTGCGTACATGATCCCTGTGACCTACGATTCATGCTAACAAATGGATGCAGGCCGAAAGCGGGCCCTCAATGCCCAAATGGACGCCATTGTCAAGAGCGGCTCGTCTCGCCGCCGAAAGAAGGACGGCATCGACCTTGAACAGATGGCCGACCAAGAGATCGAGGAGATGCGCCGACGCATGGCCCAAGCAGCCATGGCTGACAACGAAGGCCGCAAGCGCAACGAACCCGCCCGGCATAAGCTCAAGCTCCTTCCCGAAGTCACCGCCTTGCTCAACAAGAATAGTCTAAGGGACACTATTGTAGACCCTGAAGTCAACCTCCTCGAGTCTGTGAGGTTCTTCCTAGAACCGCTCAGTGATGGTAGTTTGCCCGCATATGATATCCAGAAGGAGCTCTTCGCGTCGTTGGCCAAACTGCCGGTCAACAAGGACACTCTTGTTGCCTCTGGCATAGGCAAGGTCATCATGTTCTACATCAAGAGCAAGCGCCCAGAGTTGACGATCAAGCGACAAGCCGAGCGTCTCTTCACAGACTGGACTCGTCCTATCCTTAGGCGTACAGACGATTACCGCAAGAAGGAGTTTATTCAGGCTGACTATGATCCAACGTGCGTATTTCTTCTAC